GTTTATGAAGTAGTTCTGTGTTGTTTGGCTCTGCCACTCTTACCCTAGATGCTCGTGGGGTTTGGCCGGTTGTTTCAATAGCTTTCCCTTTTTCTGCGTATGTTAACCGGTTAGAAATAGCAGCAACCGCCTTCCCTTTGTCGTGGTATGATATTCTGTGAGACATCTTTCTTAATTGGTTGTAGAAGTAGGAGATGCAAGTTCTCTGAGTTGTAGATTTGAGATAACTATAGTTCTTCACTATAGAGTGAGATAGTTCTTAGTTGGCCCTATTCCAGATGTGAAAAGTAGATAACTTACTTGAAAGTTTGGAGTTCCATCTTCAGTGATATTGCTCTTTTTCTAGCCTTAATGGTCTTTTTGAAGCTCTGTTGGTGAAGAGGATACTTAGTAGCAGGACAGAGAGACCTTACCGACAAAAGGACGGACCCACCGACATGCTGCCGAGGGTGGAACCGCGGTGTTTTCCGGGGAGAAGTGGTGGTAGGAAGATGAAAACTTCTATTTCGAGTAAAGAAAAGTTGATGTTTTGATAAAGTGAAACACTAACTACTTGGGGGAAACTTTGGAAAGAGTGCCTGGGAGCGTTTTTTTGAGATCCAATTTATGGAGTTACGATCTATGGTTACTGATTTTTAAATAAGACTTCTGGCTTGACCAATGAAAAAAGAGACATTAAAAGAGGGAAACAGTGTGCAGTAGTTTGTTCAAATTTGCGGAAGAGAACGTATGATAACTTATTTAAAACACTTGGGCACATGGGTCCAGATATTTTATATATAGTAACATTATTAATCAGTAACCATAGATCCCAATTCAGTAACCATAGATCCCAATTACTGGTCTTATTTTAAAATCGGTCCAATGCATTTCCAAATCAAAAATGTAACTTGACCAAATCGATCAATTAGTTATAGAGCAAAAGTTCATATTTTTGCATCTCCTAAGTTAATTGGAAGTGATTGGAAATTTGGTCTTCGTAGTATTTCTTTTTCTCTTGCTACCGACAGCCCTGCTTAATCTATATATAATAACAATCCCAAAAAATGAATATTTTTGGGGTGTGACTTGTCATTTAAAACCGTTTGATGGTTATTTCCTACAATTTTTGTTTTTTTAAATATAACCGTTTCGTCAATAATCACGTCTTTTCATTATAACCACTACGTCAATAGTCGCGTCTTTTCATGATAACCGTTTGGTGGTTACTTCCTACGTCAATAGTCGCGTCTTTTCATGATAACCATTTGGAGGTTACTTCCTACATCAACAATCGCGTTTTTTCATGATAAACGTTTGGTGGTTACTTTCTAAAAATTACAATTTTTTAAAAATAACCGTTCTATCAAAAGTCGCGTTCTTTCATTATAACTATATTTTTGAAAGTTGCGTTTCACCAGAAAAACCGTGTCATGGTTATTCGTAAACATTGTGTACGTTTAAAAATCTGTTTTCCTATAAACGTTTTGAACTTTCCTTTGTTCATCCTTTTTTTTTATCATGGCTATTGGTTGTACAAATTATTTAAAATTTAAGGCTTATCAAAACCGACATTCTATTATTTTGCACTTATTTAACAATTTGGAGTTTTTTACCATTGATGAAGTTCCAAAAATTCTGGATTTGTTTAAAGAATTTTGGACTTCGGGGTTGATTGGAAAAGACTTTAGAAACTTTTGGCTGTAGACTTTTATTTTGATAAAAAAACTGTAAAGAATTTTACTTTTAAAAATTAGGCTGTTACATTTAAAAAAATGAAAGTCCCAAATTACATGCTTTAGGAAAAACGAACGGAACAAGAGTAAAATTAGTTACTTAAACTGTGAGAAAAATAAAGAGTGCTTTTAGGACTGTTAGAACATTAAAGTGTGATTGGACTTTTAAAACTAAAAAGAAATTAAGTCTCTACAGCCTCCAAAGTTTAAACCCCAATCACCGCCTTCGTTAGACAATGCAGATATTTTAGCAAATTTTAAATATAAACGACTAGTGAAATTTCCAAATTTATTTTTTTTTGGAAATGGGTGGGTCATGTAGTGAGTTTTTTTATCTAACAATTTTCTACGGAAACATTAATTCTTTTTATCTGAAGACATTTTATTTAGGTTGTCATCCTCGTAATATTGAAGCTGCATTAATATTGCTATACAATTCAGGAATGAAGAAACACACACAATCGATTTGGTTATCAGCTATATTCTTTATATGTACTGAAAATTTTAAATATGCTAAAATTCAAATGAATCGATTGAAATGACGTACAAAATTTGAGATTCTTCTACTTGTTAGACGAAAAGCGATGGTTCACATACAAAGAATGTGTTTAGAAGGGAAAACATTTTTTACTGACATGATTTAAATATCTAAATTTAAAATTGTATTGTCTTGTAAGTGTTTGTTACCATGTAGTAGTAATTGTTATTTAAGACATTAAAATGGTTACTTTTTTAAATATGTGTAAATGTAGTCATACTATTTTTGTAAATGTAATTAAAATTTCAAATTAATCAATAATAAATTACAATCCACGAAGTTATACATTTTAAGAGGTCCTTATGTCTCCGGCAAAATAATGTGGGCTCGTGCCATACATTGATAGTTCCAGACTTTTCAGATTTTGTATCCTTTTGATTTTGTTAATTATTAATCAAATTCCATAATAAATTAGTTGTTTAGAATTGATCAAACTGCCGGGAAAATAAAATAAAAAGAATTGATCAAACTAGAATTCTTAAACAAAATAATTTAGTAGATTGTGACCTTTTCAAAAATAATCCCGGTATACTTTCTCGGATTCTCATGCATAAAGCAAGAAACAAATCTCAGAAGAGGAATACCAAATTTGACTTTTAGATTCTTCTTTATTCGGCTTTACTATTATCTCATTGACCAATGTTGAT